CCTAAACTGCACCTAAATTGCACCTAATTCCTGAATAATATTTACCAGTGTTCGACGAAAATTAGTGGGTGGGTCAGCTAGCGTGACGTCACGCTGGCTGACCCATATATTTTTGCAATTTTCTCGGAAACCGAGTGAGCACTTAAATTAATTTTGGAGGCCCTAAATTGCACCTAAATTGCACCTAATTCCTGAGTAATTTTTATCATTTTTGGAGAAGTGGGTCAGCTAGCGTTACGGACGTCCAAATATTTATATCGTTGAAATCAGCGTAAAAAGTACTATCGATCTGCATTTTTAGTTTTTCCATAGCTGAAATGTTGGTTATCTAGATATAACCACGCTACGCTCACCTTAATGATCTCTATCAGTTCCAAATATAAATTTTAATCTGAGAATTGTAGGTATTCTGCATTTATACCAATAATTTTATCATTGTTCATGGCTTGATCTGGTCTTTCGTTCATGGGTGTACGACATGAACCAACTAACAATATATCACAATTTAGGCCTTTTGCCAGACCAAACAAACGCGCGAACTTGTTCCAATCACAAAGCATTTCATTCCATGATTTTTATCATGCTTAATTTTATATCATAAATTTGTAATAAATCGAAATTAAAATGAAAATCGCACATAAAACACATCAAATTGCTAAAAAAAAGCCAACCCGAAGCGATAGAAACAAAAGGGAAAAACATCCAAAAAGGTACGAAAAAATTTTTATGAATTCCCTTACTCCCTTCTCCTTTCTGTATTGCCATAACAAGAAGCCGAAGTATTTCTGCGCAGAACTTCTTTCTGAATAGGCGGCCTTCGGCCGCACTTAGGGATTATAACCCTCACAAAGTAGAATTCTCTTTCTGTGTTGCGAAAAAAAGGCGCTGAACACGTTTTGCCGAGAACACCTCTCTGCGTAGGTAAATAACTTTTGATCGGCTAAAAAAAGGGTAATTCTCTAGTGTAGGGTAACAACCCCTAAAAAGGTACGGAAAAGTCGGGAGGGGTACCAAACGACGCGTTTCGGACCCCCTATTAACAATCTGGAGGGGGAGGGCTAATATTATTAACCATTTAAAAGTTATAAACAAAAAACTTTTGTTAATTTCGTTGTTTTCTATGAGCAATTACCACGTCAAAAATGCACTAAATCACCAGTTTCCATTTAAAACACTATTAAAACGTCTCCGGTTATTCTTTTATGCAAACCAAATCATTTATTCACTTTTATTTTATATATTTCGTTAATAAAACAGAGTAAACAAACTTTGCGACTGCCAAAATTATTAGCCCTGTTCGCGTACGCACTATCCAGTAAATCCAGTACTAATTTACTGGTTTTTTACTGGATGTCGTTTTCGTACGCATAAACTTGCAAGAAACTAGCAAAAGAGGGGAAATTGAGAGAGCAAAAATAACAGCTGAACTTGCAAGTTTTACTGGATTTTTACTGGATAAATTTTTACTAGCAACTATTTGCTAGTAAGAAAAACAGCTGATGGCATGATGCTTAATGTAATTCACATTAACAAAATAATTGTTTGTGGTGCTTTTAGAGTTGCAATTGACAAAATAAACCCATTTAAATATATAATAAGATGGAAAATACTAGTTCTCTAAGAAAATTGCATCGGAAAATAACAAATAAATCAGCTGTTCATAAAACTAGCAACTTCTTGCTGGTTTTGCGTTTTCGTACTTTCTTGCATATTTCACTCATTGGGAGTAAATATTAGTTGCGTTTTTTTACTCATTTCCAGTAAAAGTTTTTACGAATTTTCATGTTTTGGCGTTTTCGTACGCAACAACTTGCAAAGTAGGGGAAATTGAGAGAGCGAAAAATGACAGCTGAAGTTGCAAGTTTTTACTGGATTTTACTGGATAAATTTTTACTTGTAAGAATTTGCCAGTACGAAAAACAGCTGATCGCATGTTGCTGGATGAAATTTAAACTAATAAGGAAACTGTTTGTGGCTTTTTATTGTGCAAATTCACAAAATGAACATATTTAAATATAAAATATATTGTTTTAGTAGGAATATGCTGCGAATAAACAACCAATTAATCAGCTGTTCATGAAACTTGCAAATTATTACTGGAAAAGCGTTCACGTACTTTTTTGTAAATTTTTTCTATGAGAGCGAATTCTTAGAAATAAAATTACTGGAGAGTTGCTGGCAAGTTACTGGATAATTTGTAAAAAAACACAACTATTGACTTACTCTCCGAAATTTGGTTACTGGCAAGTTACTGGATATTTTTTGGTGGAGAATACGAAAACACAGCTATTATAACCTCAAATCGCTGGTATTGCCACTTTATTTCACATTTCATTTGCGCTATTATACTCAGTTTACACTATACACTTCTTCTTTTTTTACTTTCACCTAAATAAGCAGGGTTCGTATTTGCACACACATGCTCTGCTCACACACACGCCAGAAACACATTCAACTTGTACTCACTGCTCATACACATGTGTGTGCATAAGTGGAAAACAAACTGCTCACAGAAAAGTGTGTGCTGTTTGTTATTAAGCACATGCACATGTGTGTGAGCCGATTTTTGTACAAATTTCAGCCCATGCACATGCACATAATATATATTTAAAAGAATTTGTTTATTAAACGTTATTTTTTGAAAGACAATTCAATAAAAAGTGAGATGTTGTTTGCTTTTTATATGACAGAAAACATATTAAAAAATTATTTTAAGATTTGAGATAGAAATCGAAGTGTATAAGTTTCTCTACGCAAAGCACACACATGTGCGTGTGCTTTATATTAATAAAAATAAAGTACACACATGAGCCCGTGCTTTTAACCAAACAACACACACATGTGATGTGAGCAAGTTTTTAATTTTTTATATGCACAGCACACGTGTGTGAGCGTAAAATGTTAGGATGTGCTGCGCATGTGTGTGCAAATACGAACCCTGTAAATAAGATATTCTAACCAAAATATAATAGCAAATTTCGCTATACCGTGGCAGTGCTACTTTCATGGTTTAGTTATTTTAGCTGTAATTAAAAGCAAGCGTTATGGAGTGGAAAAAGTGCGATTTTTTATTAAAAATTTGCATTATTTATCGAAGTATTAATTTTTATTAAAAAAGCGAAGCAGGCGAAAATTTTTAATGAAAAATCGCACTTTTTGCACTCCATGACGCTTACTTTTAATTACAGCTAAAATAAATAAGAATTCTCCTTTCTGTGTGACATAACTGGGGCTACCGCCCCAGTGATGTATCCTTGGTAAAGGATGAGGTAACTAGAATTCTCTTTCTGTGTGGTAAACCTGGGGCTGCCGCCCCAGTGATGTCTATTTTGGTTACTGGGTGTTTTATAAAAATATCTTGTATATAAAAATGTATATACAAATTTATAACAAAAATTTGCAACAAATACCATATTTCCAACCGACATTATTGTTAAATTAGTGCACAGATTTAGTGAATTAAATTTTTTTTAATAAAGCGTGAACTGTTGTCTACAAGTGTGTGTACAAGTTTTTTGATTCGATTCACGCGTTTGGGCACAGCAACCCAAAATCGTTGTACAAATTCATAAACAGTACTCTTGATTTTTATGGAAAAAGCGCCGCAGGCGAAAATTTGTAATAAAAAATCGCGCGATTTTTTATTAAAAATTTTCATTATTTATATATATATTAAACGAAAGAAGATACCGAAAAGCATTGAACAGTGCACACACCTTATAAGGAAAAGTGAATTATTACGAAATGCTAATAGTGGCAGCACTATAGCTATTTTGGAATCTCGCGTTTCATTTCGCAAAGATTGTCAACTTCTTTTTAATAACAAAATAATCTATCTTAGGTTGATAAGACTATGTGTTTGTTTAATAAATAAGTTAAATTATATATTTTAATAGTGTTTAAAAAGTGAGAACAGGTGATTTAGTGAATCTTTGTCGGTGTAATTGCCCATAGAAAACAACGAAATTTAACAAAAGCTTTTTCATAACTTTTAAATGGTTAATAATATTAGCCTTCCCCCTCCGGATTGTTAATAGGGGGACCGAAACGCGTCATTTAGTACCCCTCCCGACTTTTCCGGACCTTTTTTAGGGGTTGTTACCCTACACTAGAGAATTACCAAAAAAAGTTAATTTCCCCTTTCGGATTCTTGTTATTAGGGTCCAGACGCCCTAATGGTACCCCCTTTCCAAAATTTTGACCAATTTTGGGGGTTGAAAGCCCACCTAATTACCCATATGTGTACGATATGTACCTTTTCTGCTTTAATACGGCGTTTCTCATTCTCTGCAATAGTGCATTTTACTTCCTCCATCAAATCTTGGCGTTCTTTCAATCGGTTCGCAGCCATCTTGAAAACGTTTGTTTTAAACATATTGAAGTAATATAGATAGTTCAAGAGAATTCTCAACATATGCGACGTTTTTTTAATAGCTAACGAAAAAAACATTATTCGTGATGACAATAATTAATTAATCTGTATATTTATTCCTTACTTGGCTTCAGTAAATCATAATATGTAAATATAAATGTCTTGTCAGTTATTTTATATATGTGATCAATCTGGCGAACTAATTTTATTAAATAAAGCCGCCTTTCCCGAGTACCATCTTCGGCGTACGGTATTTCAACTCTATATCCAAACATTCTTAAATAGCTTATAAGGATTTTAGTAAGCCATGTATCCGAAGGATTTCCCAAATCAGTCTCAACCATTGTGCACTCTGGACATAATTCGTTCCAGCTGTCAAGATACTCTTTCGGCAACATTTCACCGACACCTCTACAACCAAAATATTTTTATAGATATGCCGGAAAAACAACGATTCATCGAAAATATCGATGTTGTGCTTCGATGCATCCAAAACTGGTACCGGCGCAGTTTAGCGACGCTACAGAAAAACACTATAATTGTGGTGAATTGTCGGTACCCAAAACTCGGTACCCAATACCTTAAAAAAGATACTTCCTTTTCAGAACCCGAAACCGAATCTTTAATAAATATTCGCCATTATATGCATTTCAAGTTTAGAAAAAATTTTTTTATATGATATCGGCGATATATTATTTTATCAGTTTTAGGGCCGGTTACTCTATGTCTCGTTAGCACCAATCTCTGGTTAAACTAGCTATTAACTATATAACTATAACTATAACTATTATCGACGTTACTTCATATCATACGTCAACAAAACCGATACCGACTCGAAAATTGTCGCTAAAGGTGTCCTTACACTACATGTATTTGCATCTGCAAATGCGACTTTTTCAATACATATGTAATTGCGTATGTCTGTCAAAATCACAGTCTTTGTTTAACTATTTAAAAACACGCTCTTTGAAAACGAAATAAACTAAACTCAAATGATTCTATCTGTGTGTCAGATGAAAATAGAAACAATTATATTTCGTATGTACGTGCATCTGCTTTGTACAGAAACAAATCTAATTTGCCTTTACACGATATGCTGGCATTTCCATATGTAAAAAGTGGCATGTATAAATGCAAATACAAATCGTGTCAGAACACCATAACTGGTTACAAAATCTGACCCAGGCCTACAAAAATGATATCGTCCGATTCAGCTGGAACAAAAATGCTTCAACCAAGTAAGAGTTTCTCTGCATTATGGCCTCGAACCGACATATATATATATACATCTTTCATTGAATCAATAGTAAAAGCTCTATTGGCTCCTACATTCAGATTTCGATAGGCGAGTCTCCCCTGAACCGTTTTTTCCATATTTTTTACCTATGTGCGCTTTTATTCGAGTCCTAAATGTTTCGGTACCGAGGATACTTTTTAAATCGGTACCGAATATCGATCAATACTTAAAAGTATTGACTCAGCACAAATCTAAAAAACATAGTAGGGGTCTTCCCTTACAGTGGCTACACACGACGAACATGTGCGGCACATGCTCGGCTTGCGGTGCATGTTCGTCGATTGTAGGGCGGTTCACGAGCATGCTCGCAAAAAATCATTAAAGCTGAAGCACAACAACGGCGAACAGCTGACAGCATTCGAACCGCTCGATACCGCTCTATTTGTGTTTCAGTAAGCGAATTAGCTGGGCGAAAGTTGGTCGTCGGCATCGCTCTGCTGGGCGAAATTTGCCATTCGCCGGGTATTGTGTCTCAAGCAAAAAATGTAGATTTTCAGCGAGCAGGCTCGTCGTTTGTAGCGTGGTTTGCGAGCATCGCATTGGAAACAAAAACAACTTAATTTGTGGTGNAAAAATGTAGATTTTCAGCGAGCAGGCTCGTCGTTTGTAGTGTGGTTTGCGAGCATCGCATTGGAAACAAAAACAACTTAATTTGTGGTGATGCTTGCATTGTCACATCGACGGATAAGTGCAGCCAAGCCATGTACGTTATGAACTTATGATAAATTAGGCTAAATTACTATAAGTATATGTATGTACATACATACAAGTAAAATATAAATAAATTTAAGTAACACGTACATATAAAAGTTAAGTTAAAAGCATTGCAATTGCATCATCCGCGTCTTTGCTAATCATCATTACGCTACCATGACAAAATCACATATGAGCCGCTCACCGTCTGTGACAAACGACAGCGAGCATGTTGGCGCATATGTCCGCGCAGATGTTCGTCGTGTGTAGCCAGTATAACACACTATTATCTATTGCTTGAATGGGCAACTTGCTTTCAATTGTTCCCTTTCAACTGAGTTCCAATTTTGCTTTCAATTTTGATCAGCTTCTCAGCATTGGTATGCGGATTTTGTGAAAACAAAAAAATACTAAGCTTATGCATGTTAAAATGTTAATATACAATGGAATTAAAATGGAAAATATTCTTCAGAAGCTAGTTAGTTACATTGTTTTCTTGAACGCGACATGTTGATAATAAAAGTGCTTCTCAAATTGAATTCAGCCTACGTAAATGACAGCTGGGCAGCAATAAATTTTATCCTGTGGAGATGGCCAGTAATGGCTTTCAATTTTGATGATTTTTGACAAGTGATGTGCTGAATTGTCGGTACCCAATACTCGGTTCCTAATACTTAAAAAAGGTTTCGGTACCCAATACTTCCTTTTCGTTACCCGACACCGCTTCTTTACATTATTTTATTTATTTATATATTTAAATTAATTACAATTAAAATTATAATCAATTAAGCACTTGCTGCCAGGGCTATCGGCTTCAGATGTACATATGTAAGTCACGATTGAGAGAATACAAAGGTNGCCAGGGCTATCGGCTTCAGATGTACATATGTAAGTGTATGCGTTGTGACGGATTATAATAATTTATCAATACCGATTTTTTTTCAAAACTCAAACATCAGTTTAATATTTTTCTCATTCGGATAAGTAAGCAATTCTAAAGGGTTCGGGGTCGGGAAGAAGGAAGATATGGAATCTGTAAGTAGCGGGCAGTATTTGAGAATATGGGGGATGGTTAAGGAGGCATTGCGGCAAAATTGACATGTTGGCTGAGACTTGTTTTTCAATAAATTGGCGTGAGTTAGGCTAGTGTGACCTAGTCTTAGGCGGATGAAGCATTTATTCATGGTTGTTGTCGTCATAGGAAGCCGGATGGCAGTNCTTGTATGTAAGTGTATGCGTTGTGACGGATTATAATAATTTATCAATACCGATTTTTTTTCAAAACTCAAACATCAGTTTAATATTTTTCTCATTCGGATAAGTAAGCAATTCTAAAGGGTTCGGGGTCGGGAAGAAGGAAGATATGGAATCTGTAAGTAGCGGGCAGTATTTGAGAATATGGGGGATGGTTAAGGAGGCATTGCGGCAAAATTGACATGTTGGCTGAGACTTGTTTTTCAATAAATTGGCGTGAGTTAGGCTAGTGTGACCTAGTCTTAGGCGGATGAAGCATTTATTCATGGTTGTTGTCGTCATAGGAAGCCGGATGGCAGTTCTATTTGGATTGTGTGACTTGTATATGTGGGAGTAATTTGCCCACTTAATGGCACATCGTTGATACGCAGTTTTGGATATTAATATCGCCACAGCTTTGCTTGAGAATGCCATGAAAGTAAAAACTGGAGCTTTCGTTGCTGATTTGGCTGCTTTATCTGCGAACTCGTTTCCATTGATACCGGCATGGCCGGGAATCCACGTCAATTTTATTCTTTCCTCTAGTAGCACGTAGTCGACGTGGCGGGAAAACTACGAGCACGCGAGTGTGCTAGGCGAGGTGAAGTGAGCTGTACGTAAATGGCAACGTATACATTTTAACCACTACACACTTATTTTCAAGTAAAAATGCGTGTTTGCATGTGTACTTTTGCGACAACTGAGCCAGTGTGGCATCAGGCCACCTGAAAAAGCCAATTTTTCCAAAACAAAAACGCCAAGTTTTTATTATCATGTTTAATAATTTTTTTGAGTCAGTAAAAAGTGTATATACATATCCATTTCTTCACGTTTTTGTTAATAAATTAATTTCAACACATTTATAACAACGCTAAACATGTATAATTTACCTATTCCTCACATTTTATTCAGTAAATTAATTCCATCTTAAGCCCTGTATGCAGCTCTCAAGAAAACGGTCAAGAAAAAATTGCCATTATTTCGTGTGTGTGTCCAAGGAATTTTGACATTTTTGATACTTCACAGCTTGTTGCCTCACTCTTTCCTCGAGAAATAATGGAGCGGGCATATATTTCTGTTGCAAGCCCGGGATGCCTTGTGCTCTTTTTTCACAAAAAACTTTAGAAAACCGTAGTAAATTTCTTAAGAACTGCGTACTGCCTTGAGAAAATTTGACTCAAGAAAATTTCTTAGCGATTTCTTGTACGTCATTTTATATGGAGTTTTTGCTTTTCTTGAGAGCTGCATACAGGTCTTTAATGTAGAATATTAGTGTATAGTGTATACATACATACATATGTACCTATGCATTCGGTGTGCTTAAATTAAAAAAGCATCACTAAATAACGCACCAAACATTGAATTCCAATTATTTTGGCTTTTTGGTTTCCCAAAAGCACTAAATTTAGTGCAAAATGCACTTCCTTGGCAACAGTGAGCTGAGCACATCAATGCTCAAACAGTGATGCCAGACCAAGTATTGAGTAAATGCGCTATGTATATTTTTCTTTTAAAGCAAAAGTTCTAATTGGCGAGGGGATTGATTTTTGGTTCTTACATAGAACACTGATAAGATTCACAAACTTATCTTAGGACTTAATTAAAATAATCAACATTATTTGTAGACGAATATATTTGTGTTCGTATGAAATAGTAGCTTATGACGGGAGGCTGGCTTTAGTAAAATGTACCATTTCCTAATTCTTTAAACCACAAGGAATTTTTGTATAAGACTTTATACGAACATTGACTTGCTAGCATCGCAACTGCCTCTTTTACGTTTATTTTCCAAGTGTTTTTCAACGACTCGGCGCCAGTGAGTCTTTTGCAATCGTATGCTGCGAATGGTTCATTATACTAAAGCCAGTCTTCCGACATGGAACCCTGAAATTGTGCATATGGAAACTGTGCATACGAAATAATGCATATGAAAAAAACCGAAATAATGCATATATGCACAGTTTCGGTTGAAAACCGCTGTTGCGAAACTTTAGCGACAGTTCTCGAGGAAATAAAAATTGAATATGCGAATTTCTATTAGCGGACGCTTTTAAACTTTTTCTTTATTCGTTCCTCTTAAAAACTTAGCTGCTTACAAAGTTGTTCTTCTATTTATACTGTATACGTATGGCGTGATTTTACCGCTAGACATGTACGTACATAAACATTTTAGATATATAGTACACATATGTACCTAAGCACATATGTAGGTAAGGATACGTTCATGTCTATGTAAACGCTAAGTACATAAATGAATCGAACAGAAATAAGCAAATACATATGAATTTAAAGAACATAAAACCTTTACTGCTCGGCTGAGCTTAATGTCGGTGACAACCGCAATAATGCATATTAGAAAAACCGAAATTATGCATATGCACTCTTTCGTTTGAAAACCGAAATAATGCATATGAAAAAAAAACTGAAATAATGCATATATGCACAGTTTCGGCTGAACACCGAAATAACGCATATATGCACAATTTCGTTTGAAAACCGAAATAATGCATATGACAAAAACCGAAATAGTGCATACATGAAAACGAACTTCTTTCTGCGTAGGGGGCCTTCTGCCGCCCTTAGGGATTATAACCCTTACTAAAAAGAACTCTCCTTTCTGCGTTGCCGGAAAAGAGGGGACGGAAGTATTTTTGCGCAGACCTTCTCTGTTGCTGGCAAGTTACTGGATAATTTGTAAAAAAACACAACTATTGACTTACTCTCCGAAATTTGGTTACTGGCAAGTTACTGGATATTTTTTGGTGGAGAATACGAAAACACAGCTATTATAACCTCAAATCGCTGGTATTGCCACTTTATTTCACATTTCATTTGCGCTATTATACTCAGTTTACACTATACACTTCTTCTTCTTTTTTTACTTTCACCTAAATAAGCAGGGTTCGTATTTGCACACACATGCTCTGCTCACACACACGCCAGAAACACATTCAACTTGTACTCACTGCTCATACACATGTGTGTGCATAAGTGGAAAACAAACTGCTCACAGAAAAGTGTGTGCTGTTTGTTATTAAGCACATGCACATGTGTGTGAGCCGATTTTTGTACAAATTTCAGCCCATGCACATGCACATAATATATTTTTAAAAGAATTTGTTTATTAAACGTTATTTTTTGAAAGACAATTCAATAAAAAGTGAGATGTTGTTTGTTTTTTATATGACAGAAAACATATTAAAAAATTATTTTAAGATTTGAGATAGAAATCGAAGTGTATAAGTTTCTCTACGCAAAGCACACACATGTGCGTGTGCTTTATATTAATAAAAATAAAGTACACACATGAGCCCGTGCTTTTTACCAAACAACACACACATGTGATGTGAGCAAGTTTTTAATTTTTTATATGCACAGCACACGTGTGGGAGCGTAAAATGTTAGGATGTGCTGCGCATGTGTGTGCAAATACGAACCCTGTAAATAAGATATTCTAACCAAAATATAATAGCAAATTTCGCTATACCGTGGCAGTGCTACTTTCATGGTTTAGTTATTTTAGCTGTAATTAAAAGTAAGCGTTATGGAGTGGAAAAAGTGCGATTTTTTATTAAAAATTTGCATTATTTATCGAAGTATAAATTTTTATTAAAAAAGCGCCGCAGGCGAAAATTTGTAATGAAAAATCGCGGGTACTGTTTATGAATTTGTACAACGATTTTGGGTTGCTGTGCACAAACGCGTGAATTGAATCAAAAAACTTGTACACACACTTGTAGACAACAGTTCACGCTTTATTAAAAAAATTTAATTCACTAAATCTGTGCACTAATTTAACAATAATGTCGGTTGGAAATATGGTATTTGTTGCAAATTTTTGTTATAAATTTGTATATACATTTTTATATACAAGATATTTTTATAAAACACCCAGTAACCAAAATAGACATCACTGGGGCGGCAGCCCCAGGTTTACCACACAGAAAGAGAATTCTAGTTACCTCATCCTTTACCAAGGATACATCACTGGGGCGGTAGCCCCAGTTATGTCCACACAGAGAGGAGAATTCTTATTTATTTTAGCTGTAATTAAAAGTAAGCGTCATGGAGTGCAAAAAGTGCGATTTTGGGAAATGTTTAGTTATTGGCCCATCGTTTTTCGGGTGGGGGGCGGAGGGGGAGGGGGCGTGGCCCCCAAACCCCCCTCATTCGAAAGGGGACAGTCGCCACTTTACGAAAAGCCCCACCCCCCCTTGGGGACCTCCCACAGACCCTTAGGGAACCGTTTGAAAATGGGGTAAAAACGGTATTTTCCGAGGCAAACTGGCAGTTTGAAGTGGAATATAACCCAACTAACGAAAACCGTGGGATTTTTAAATAAAAGAAATTATCCCAAGTTGGTTATCAGGCGATTTGAAAAAAAATAAACTAAAAAAAAAATTAACTAAAAATATTGTGAAATTAAGAAAAAAGAGACAGATAGAAATGTTGTAGTAATAGTAATATGATAGTATTTTAGCGCAGAACTTCTTTTTTGCGTAGGCGGCCTTCGGCCGCACTTAGGGATTATAACCCCCACTACGTAGAATTCTCTTCTGTGTTGGAAAAGAAAGGGGGCTGAACACCTTTTGCAGAGAACACCTTTCTGCGTAGGCGGCCTTTGGCCGCACTTAGGGATTATAACCCTCACTACGTAGAATTCTCTTCTGTGTTGCCAAAGAAAGGGGGCTGAACACCTTTTGCAGAGAACACCTTTCTGCGTAGGCGGCCTTCGGCCGCACTTAGGGATTATAACCCTCAGGTAGTAGAATTCTCCTTTCTGTTTTGCGAAGAAAAGGAGCTAAACACCTTTTGCAGAGAACACTTTTGTATATTTTTAATGCTTACAGGGTTATATCCTATCTTCTTTTGTCTCTCATTCTTTTGCATATTTCGGAGTTTGACAGCTGAACTCCGCCATTTAATTTGCATGTGCAACCAAAGTCAGACGCATGATTTTAAAGGTGTTTTTATTTAATGAATTGTGATTAATTGGTTAATATTAAAGTCGTAAATCAAGTTATAACTAATCGAGTAAAGTGTAAAGTGAAGGGGAATACAAAAATGAATTGGTGAAGTGGCTGCTTTAAGGAGAATAGGAGTGATAAATGTACGCTAATTTCCAAATTTTACAAAAAAGGGCATATTTCAAACGCAATTTATAATAAATTAGTGACCAAAAATTAGAATAGTGGATGTTAAAATAATGGGTAGACCCTTGGCTACAAGTGCATTCAATTTTTTTTTGGATCGGGTCACCCCTTTGGACGCAATACCCCGAAATAGGTGGGCCACTTACTAAACAGTACCCCTTGATTTTTATGGAAAAAGCGCCGCAGGCGAAAATTTGTAATAAAAAATCGCGCGATTTTTTATTAAAAATTTTCATTATTTATATATATATTAAACGAAAGAAGATACCGAAAAGCATTGAACAGTGCACACACCTTATAAGGAAAAGTGAATTATTACGAAATACTAATAGTGGCAGCACTATAGCTATTTTGGAATCTCGCGTTTCATTTCGCAAAGATTGTCAACTTCTTTTTAATAACAAAATAATCTATCTTAGGTTGATAAGACTATGTGTTTGTTTAATAAATAAGTTAAATTATATATTTTAATAGTGTTTAAAAAGTGAGAACAGGTGATTTAGTGAATCTTTGTCGGTGTAATTGCCCATAGAAAACAACGAAATTTAACAAAAGCTTTTTCATAACTTTTAAATGGTTAATAATATTAGCCTTCCCCCTCCGGATTGTTAATAGGTGGACCGAAACGCGTCATTTAGTACCCCTCCCGACTTTTCCGGACCTTTTTTAAGGGTTGTTACCCTACACTAGAGAATTACCAAAAAAAGTTAATTTCCCCTTTCGGATTCTTGTTATTAGGGTCCAGACGCCCTAATGGTACCCCCTTTTCAAAATGTTGACCAATTTTGGGGGTTGAAAGCCCACCTAATTACCCATATGTGTACGATATGTACCTTTTCTGCTTTAATACGGCGTTTCTCATTCTCTGCAATAGTGCATTTTACTTCCTCCATCAAATCTTGGCGTTCTTTCAATCGGTTCGCAGCCATCTTGAAAACGTTTGTTTTAAACATATTGAAGTAATATAGATAGTTCAAGAGAATTCTCAACATATGCGACGTTTTTTTAATAGCTAACGAAAAAAAAATTATTCGTGATGACAATAATTAATTAATCTGTATATTTATTCCTTACTTGGCTTCAGTAAATCAAAATATGTAAATATAAATGTCTTGTCAGTTATTTTATATATGTGATCAATCTGGCGAACTAATTTTATTAAATAAAGCCGCCTTTCCCGAGTACCATCTTCGGCGTACGGTATTTCAACTCTATATCCAAACATTCTTAAATAGCTTATAAGGATTTTAGTAAGCCATGTCTCCGAAGGATTTCCCAAATCAGTCTCAACCATTGTGCACTCTGGACATAATTCGTTCCAGCTGTCAAGATACTCTTTCGGCAACATTTCACCGACACCTCTACAATAGAGCTGTCAAACTATCGACGATACTATCGATAGTATCGATAGTCTGGTCACTTGAAATAACTATCGATAGTTTTAGTACTATCGCCACTATCGTTTCATTGATAGCGTATTCTCTTTCCTAGCGCTTTTGACATTTGCACGTATTGGTTCAACAAAACATTGCAGCATTATTTCATGAACGAACGAATAAAATAAAGATCACCCAGGACGTTGTGCGAGAGAAAAGTATGTTTTTCACAGTGACGTCATTTTTTCGCCACGGAATGAAACCATGTGTGTGAGAGAAACAACCGATTAAAAATTACGTTATCAACTATTATTTTTTTCTCAAATGCAGTTTTAAATACGCGGTTGCCGCGCTGGGTGATCAGTTTAGTTGGTTCATGGCATTAGTTGCGTTCCTTATCTCCCAGAAATAGCCAGAAAAAGTCCGAAGTAGTCAGATTTAGTCCAAAAAGCGTTCCTTAACTCTAAAATAACAGCAAAAATGAGAGAGCAGTCAGTGGGAATGACTCTCTTCAGTCCGAAGTAGTCAGATTTAGTCAGAAGAATTTTTGCTGGCAAAATCTTGAAAAGTGTCAAACTCAACTGAATTTAAATTAACGGAGATTAAATAATACGCGAAAAGTGAGAATAATGTAAAAAGTAAAAAAATTAATTGAAATTGGAAGGAAGCAAAAAAATAATTGATATAGCAAGTGCCAATATTGTGCTTGTGCTTGAGTGAATGTGTTTTGTACATACATTTCTATTCTTGTTTGACGTTAGTTTTGTTGTTGCCATTCTTTGGACTAAAAATTTGGATTTTGCGTTCATTAACTTTTTCCTGTTATTCTCTTTTAGTGAGTGCATTTTGCTTACGCTCTGACATTTTGACACTTTTCAGATT